TATTGCAAGCCTGTGTAATAACAACAGTAAATACAGCAGGGATGGAGAACCATGGGAACCGCTAGATGTTCTTGGACTGGAACTCCAATCAGTCCTAGCAAAAATGGTGATAGCTTACAGGGAATACATTCATACAAGGTCTAGAGGGCCACATGCTCCCCATCCCTAACTTAAAGGATTAATTCAATGCAGGACACTTAAATGAGTGAAAAGACAGGGATTCATTCTTACAATGCAGGACACTTAAATGAGTGAAAAGACAGGGATTCATTCTTACAAGTACCAACAGTCACAAGTACTTTTCAAATGGATTTAAGGAAGTCTAACCTCATCCTCTGGATAGACCAGAAGAGCATGGAGGGCATGGACAGCAGCTGCAACAACATTGTCCACAGTGTCATCTATGGAGAAACGGAGTAGAAAGAGGAAACCAGCATCAAGCAGCACTCGCAGAACACTTCCCTTCAGCAAGGTGGCAAACTCTCCTGCCTTTGCCTGAAATACACGATAAAGTAATTCAAAGGAGGAGGAAGAAGAGGTGGTAGTGATTGTGGTGGTTATTTCAGAGGATCAGTATAGCACATTAACCTCTTCCAATATTATCATTACCATTAGTGGAGCCACTGAAGCATACCTCCATGATAAATGGGAAACTAAAGTATCATTGGCATGGGGAACACTCAGCAGCACCTCTTAAACCAATAAAGGGAACAGATGAAGGACCTTATAATGGGTTGAAACTGAATGAAGAGAACTACAACATAATCCAAGGAAATCTAATATTTCTGACTTCCAATTTTCAAAGATAAAACTGTTAGTATGTTTCAACAACAACAAAAGAAAAAACAGAAAAGGGTGGGGTGGGGGCTCAGAAGTGGACTGATATCCACAGAAGCTAATGCAAAAATAAACCAACTAGTCTCAAAGGTGCAGCAGAACCCTTTCATTTCCACATTTTTCATTTTATGACTACAAATAACCAAACTTCCTTTTTTAAAAATCTTTTTCATTCTGCTTTTTGACAAAATACGTATTATTAAAAGGACCTGTGTTTCTTGCTAAATACTCACAAATGAGACTGGAAATTAGGCCTTACGCTCCCCTTTATTCTCTACACTTGGGACGAATAATGAGAGCCTGCTAATGGTCACTAAAGCAACCAAAATTTGAAGATTGTGGCTTACAGCTATATATAATTATGGCCTATTTCATCCAGGCTTCATAACCTTTTCTAATTGCTTTAAAGATTTAGTGGCTCTACAGAGGGCCCCAAAGGAGCGGCATCCCGCCAGCCATTTCAGCACTGGATCCGGGATGCAGCAACCATGTGCTGCAGCGCCAATCCATCAGTCTGCCAGCCCAAAAAGGGCCAGAAAAATGTTGCTTCTTTTTAAAGCGGTGAAAAGCTGTCCTTGCCATCGCAGCAGCGGCTTTTTGCCGATTCTTCGGCGTAGCGCGTCTAAACGCTGCGCCAAAGAAATGGCATGACGCTGCCAGCCATCTGGTTAGGTAAGCAGCGTGATGCCAGCCAGCATCAGGGCAGAGTTCAGGCATGCAGCATGCGGTCATCACACCCCCACTTGACCCAATCCCATCATTTATCTCTGGTCTGTTTAGGCCCTTAATTTCTTAATTTGGCAGTGCCTAAACACAATATGCTACACTTTACCATAAAAGCAACACCTAGCATTTTAGTTTAACTGCCTACAAATAAATGCTATGGATTTTGTTTCTGCAGTTTTGCCAGAAACTCATACATTCATTTACTAGTTGCTAAACTGACAGGACATTCATATGCAGATTAACTAAAAAATAATCCCCACAGAATTTCAATGGTGCTTACTCCCAGGAAATATATCACATGCTTAATTTTTCCGGTTAGCTAATAACAATATGACCATCACACATTT